GACGAGCTGAAAGAAGAGGACGACCCGCTGGGGCTGGTGGTGGCGGCGTGCTTCTCGGTGCAGGACAAGCAGTGCCCAGCGGAGGACGCGGCGAGCATTGGGTGCGGACCTGCGGATACTGAGGTGCAGGAAGAGCAGCGCGACCAAGATGAAGAAGTGGCGTCTCCTCCCGGCGGTGCTTCTAAGTCGGGTGGTTCGGCCGTCCCTCGTGCCGTCCGGTATAGAACCCGCGACGCTCAGCCGGTGCAGGACAAACAGGACGACCAGAAGGCCTCGCGGGTGCTGCGGAAGAAGCAGCTCGGCAGGAAGAGCACCGGCAGCAGGACCGGAACGACCGGAAGTAAAACCAAGGTCATTGGCGCTCTGCAGACGAACTCGCGCGGGAGCACCGGTGGGGCCTTTAAATGCGATGTCTGTGCGAATAGTTTTGCACGAGCGTATAATCTTAAGCTGCATAAAATGTATCACACTGGGGAAAAGCCACATGGCTGTGACCTCTGTCCGATCCGTTTTACTCAGAAGGGTGATCTTATCAAGCACGTGAGGATACATACTGGCGAAAAGCCGTACAAGTGTGACGTATGTAAAATGCGTTTCACTGATAACAGCAATCTTGTCAAGCACATGAGGACACACACTGGTGAAAAGCCTTACAAGTGCGACGTATGTAAAATGCGTTTTTCTCAGAAGTCGAGTCTTGTCGCTCACATGAAAACACACACCGGTGAAAAGCCTTACAAGTGCGATGTATGTAAAATACGTTTTACTGAGAAAAGCACTCTTGTCAAGCACGTGAGGACACACACTGGTGAAAAGCCTTACAAGTGCGACGTATGTAAATTGCGTTTTTCTCAGAAGTGTAGTCTTGTCCGTCATATAAGAACGCACACTAGGGGAAAAGCCATACACGTGTGACATGTGTAAGAATGCCTTTAGGTTTCTATCAACATTCAATAAACACAAAACAATTTGTAGCTAACTTCATTTCTTTTTGATATCTTGAACCTTCTAATCCAGTTAAATCCGTTTTTTAATAACGATTGTTCTCAATTTATATTTGTTTGTTCATATTATTAAGAATAAAAACGGAGGCTTACAGAATTCATCATTTCGACGACACGTCAATTTTGTTACTTGCTCGTGCAGGCCGGTTATGTAGCGGTCCTTGCAAGTCGAATACTTAATTTTTGTTACCAGATCTGGCAGATTTTTTTTAGCAATTATTGTAATAATTTCGCATTTTCTTGTTTATTGTAATACGAATAAACACAAGGGTATACAGATTCAAAAAACCTTGCGACATTTCCATTTTGTTCCTTGCTTGTGCATGCCGGTTAAGGTTATGTGGCGGTCCTTGGTTCTTGGCGATGCAAGTTTCTGACGCGTGCTCTTGTTGCAGGCGGCGAGTGCTTTTTCTCCAGCGGGGCGACCCTCGGGGAGGATCCTGGAGATATCAGCATCGCCGGGGGCAGCTCGACGAGCTGAAAGAAGAGGACGACCCGCTGGGGCTGGTGGTGGCGGCGTGCTTCTCGGTGCAGGACAAGCAGTGCCCAGCGGAGGACGCGACGAGGATTGGGTGCGGACCTGTGGACTCCGAGGTGCAGGAAGAGCAATGCCCAGCAGAGGCCGCGGCGAGCATTGGGTGCGGACCTGTGGACTCCGAAGTGCAGGAAGAACAGCGAGACAAAGATGAAGAAGTGGCGTCTCCTCCCGGCGGCGCTTCTAAGTCAGGTGATTTGGCCGTCCCTCGTGCCGTCCGGTATGGGCCCTGCGACGCTCAGCCGGTGCAGGACAAACAGCAGGACGACCAGAAGGCCTCACGGGTGCTGCGCAAGGAGCAGCTCGGCAGGAAGAGCACCGACAGCACGACCGGAAGTAAAACCAAGCCCCTTGGCGCTCTGCAGACGAACTCACGCGGGCGCAGCAGCGGTGGGGCCTTTAAATGCGATGTCTGTGCGAAGAGTTTTGCACGAGCGGATAATCTTAAGGTGCACAAAATGTATCACACAGGGGAAAAGCCACATGGCTGTGACCTCTGTCCGATGCGTTTTACTCAAAAAGCCCATCTAGTCGCTCACATGAGGACACACACTGGTGAAAAGCCGTACAAGTGTGAAACGTGTCATATGTTGTTTTCTCGTAAATTTCACCTTGTCTCTCACGTCAGGACACACACTGGTGAAAAGCCTTACATATGCGACGTATGTAAAATGCGTTTTACTGAAAAAGGCAATCTTGTCATTCACATGAGGACCCACACTGGTGAAAAGCCCTACGAGTGTGACGTGTGTAAAATACGTTTTAGTCGGAAAGACACTCTTCTCGCTCACGTTAGGACACACACTGGTGAAAAGCCATTCAAGTGTGAAACGTGTCAAATGTCGTTTACTCAAAAAATCACCCTTGTCGCCCACATAAGGACACACACTGGTGAACAGCCCTACAAGTGTGATGTGTGTAAAATGCGTTTTTCTCAGAAAAGTACTCTTGTCACTCACGTTAGGACACACACCGGTGAAAAGCCTTAAAGGTGTGACCTGTGTACCAAGGCCTAAGGCATTCAGTAAAATATCAAATTTCAAAAACCACAAAAGGATTTGTAGTTCCATTTAACCCTTTTTCTTTTTCAAACTTTAACTTTTGTAACCAGTTCAGTATTGTGCATTGTGATGAATTAATTGCTGTTTTTGCATTGCATTGCGAATATAACAGGTTTCATTATCCCGACAACACCTTTTTTTCGACTCTCTTCCCTTTTTGCGCATGACGGATATTTTGCGGTTCTTGGACCTTAAAAATTATTAATAATACTTTTGTTCATTGAGACTTGATGTATACCTAAAACCTTAAAAAGAACTTACTGATCTGGGCAAGTCGTTGGCAGATTTTGTTTATGCTCTGCTCTGGAACCAGTGCTTGCCCATTTCCAAACGACGTCGTCGTTCCCGATCCTGAAGTGGTAGGAGGCGGACCACTGTCGGGAGGGATGTTTGCTCCACGAGCAGCTCAAGAAGTAGTTATGAGCTCCTTATAACGACCCAAGTTGGCGACGACGGCTGCACAGCCAGGCAGTACGTCGGGGGACGAAATTAGTGGGAAAGTTTTTCGGCCGTGACACAATGTTAACGGGTCGTGCGCTTGTTCGACCTTTTTTTGCCCGATGTGCGGGGGCGTTTCTGGTTCGCTAAATGTTAGCGCCTTTTATTTTAACTTCGATTTTGCTTTTGAATTTGGCCGTTTTCCCGGCGTTTGATTGTTCCTGCCTTTTGTCATGACCGTTTTCTTTTGCCCAATGACCTGAGCCTAGGCTAGCAGGGCCGTGTCAGGTGGGCGCGGGTCGAAATGAGACCCCTTCGCTCCGCCGCCCGCTCCCCTCTTTTGCCCCTCAAGCCGCTAATAGCTGTGGGGACTCCTCCCCCCCCCC